ACCAGTATAAGTGATCAGAAACTGGTTTAAACCTATAACAGAACAGAAGTTCAATGCACATAAATTGGTTTCAAAATGGTGGAACCTGGTTCAAGATACAACTGAATGTATGTAGTATCAGATTTAATCAGCTTAGGTTAGACCAACCTATCAAACTTTTGTTCCAGATCCCCTCCTGACTCAAATTACATTGCAGTCCCCTGACATCCCTGGATGTTTTGTGGCCTCTTGCTAACTAACCCCGCTCACAGGATGGGCAGGCTAGCTTCTGCCAGTGCTCCTCTGTTCAGCTGAGACAGGCTGACCCCACCCTTAGGTTGTCACAGAGCAGAAGCAGCAAAGCCTCTGCTCCCCAGCCTGCATCCTACCTGTACCTGTCTGCCTGGTGGGGCAGTAAGGGGGAGGTTGGGGAACGAAGCCCCCCACCTCAGCCCTGGGCTTCCCCTGAGCTGAGGTCTGCTCATCTGGGAGGATCTCTGTCCCATGGCCTGCCAGGCTGTGGTGCTGAGCCTCATCACAGTGAGTCAATGCCTCTAATCCATGGAGGAAGCAACAGAACTCTCTGCCCCAATCCCAGTCCTGGCCCCCCAAAGATGGGGTTTGCCCAGCTAGAGGGGGGGTCCACACCACAGAGACTTTCCCCCATCCTGGCTCCAGGCCCCTCTGAGCTGGGGGTCTGTCCAGCTGGAGGGGGGGATGGTAGGACTGGGGCAGGGGACTCTGTTTCCCCCTCTTCCTGTGGGTCGGGGCACTGACTCATGGTGGGCAAGGCTGGACAGCTTAGCCTGGCTGGGCAAGGGGGAAACCTCCATGGCACGGCCCCTGCCCCCAGCTGGGCAGGCTTCCCAGCCCAGGGGGACTGGGACTGGGGCAGGGGAAAGCCCCCACAGTGCAGGGCTCCACCTCCAGCTGGGAAGACCCTAACCTGGAGGGGGGCAAATAGGGGGGGCTCTGATTCCCCACTACATGGCTGGGTTGAGGGACACCCCATGTCATAGAGCTCCCCCCAGCTGGGCAGGCTGCAGCTTGGTGGGAGCCTGTGTTGGGGTGGGGGGATCTGTTCTTCCCTTCCACCCTGCTCTGCTGCCATGGGACTGTGGAGACATTTTGTGCTGGCTTCCCCCTTCCCTGTGGTTGACAGCAGGGGTGTGTGGGGAGGTGTGTGTGTGTGCTGGACAGCCAATCAGGGATGGTCCCTGCTTGCCTGGGCTTGGCTGCCCTTGGCAATGGCTGACAGACTGGGCAGCATGCTGGAGTACCCCTGCCTTTTGGTCTCAGCCAGTACAGGCATCTGTCTGCCTTTGCCAATTAGAGAAAGCTGTGAAGATTGGATTTATTCTGCCTTGGGCTTTTTGACTGTCTGTACTTAGCCATGTCACAGGCAATCACCACCATCAGTCATTAGGTGCTTTCTCTTTCCAATGGCCATTCTGGCTCTATTTCTTTGCAGAGAGGGATATTTTTCTGGGTGCTCACTGAAATCCTGCTTGTTACCAGTTTACCCCAAATCCCACAATTTAGTCTGATTCAACATTCTCCTTTCCAGTAGAGTAGCTAAGATGGGGGTGTTGAATTGGGGTGTGTGAGTTAAAATAACAGCTGCTGTGCTGCTGGCCAGGCTGCCACTGCCACAACCGCCAGTACAACTACTGACACTGCCCTATGCACTTGCTGTTAGCCAGGGGGCAGACATGCCCAGGTATGTTTCTGCTTCTTTCAGATCATAGTCCTGGTGTAAGACCCTTTCCTAAAGGCTCTGAGGATGCCTGCCTGCAAATAAAATACTTCAGAGGGAGCTGGTGTTCATTGTTGAATATTACTGATTACTACCTGAAAATGTCCTCTCACTGTGAGCTCCTATGAGCGTTGGTGATTGTGATCAATTGTTGGTTCTTGTCATGTTTAAAAAAAATAGCTTTAAATCAGTCTGTAATTTAGTGCTTTCAAAATTGTGCTTTAATCTGATAGGTCTAACCACATGTTTGGAGAGTGCAAATGTTGATTTGCAAGTGCATATAGGTTAGATGCCTAAACTTTCTCATTTGCGATTGCAAATTAGAGCTTGTTTTAAAGGTAGCTAAACTCTTAGCTATAAATTTTCGACACCTTCATTTAGTATTTTTAACACTGGGTGGGAACACAGACATACAGTAAATTTAATGCTAGTCTTAGAAGGTATATGGATGCTGCTGGTGGTAGAATGCTTTTTCTTTTTCTTTTGTTGGTTAAAGCATTGCACTAGTGATACTGGGACAGGAAGCAGCTGTTCCTTTAGCAACATAGTTTTAAACTGTAACATGCAAATTATATGTCTATAAACAAAATCAGTAACTTGGTTTACATATGTACTGGCACTGTAATGGGAGTGCAGGTGTGGAAATTACACCATTAAGAATAATATTGCTTGTGGATCTTGATAACAGGTAAATGTCCCTTTCCTAACATGATTGTCTGTGTTATTACAAGGTTTCCTAATGCAATCCAATGACCTCAGATAAAGAATTCTGATTCAATTAAAAAAATAATAAATGATTTGAAAAATGCATGTTTTTCTTTAAGTACTAAGAGAACCATAATGAAGGACAGCTCTTTTGAGAAAACATTAAAATTAGAGCTAGTCAAATAACTAGATGCAAGAGTTTTCTATCAAAAAATGGAGTTCTACTGAAACTGAAATACATTTGCAAAAGTATGTCAATTTAATCAAAAAGGGAAAACAAAAGTGTTGACAAGTTGAAACATCCCATCAAAACAGTTTTAATTTTTGGAATGAAACATTTTTTTTAATGACTGTTCTTTGTTTTTAAAATATTGCATTACATTACTATAATGCAAAGCATTCTGAGCTTGTGGAAATGAAACATTTTGGTCAACCTGAAATTCTCCTTTCCTTCCTCCCGCTCTCTGCCCCGATTTTCTTTTGTAGAGAACTTAGCCATGTTCATCCTTTGTTCCAATTTGGAATGATAATGCTTTTCAAAATGTTAGTCTCTCTGAAATGGGATTTGTGTTCTTCATCCAGTTCTTTTAAAAATGGAAAGGGCTCAAGCATTGGATAAATCCAAATGAGCTTGAGTCCTTCCATCAGAGTATTTATAAATGCAGATAGACTAGTATCTACTATGCCGGTGTGAAGCAGCTGGCATTCGCTTCGGATTTGGATTTGGCTGATTCAGGGGACAGAGATTCGATTCAGTGATTCGAATCACTGTCGTGAATCAATTTGGCTGAATCTGATTCAGAGATTCAGCTGCTGCCTAATCATCTGAATCTCTGAATCACACAGACCTCATCCCCTGCCCGCTCTCAATGGCTACCCTGCCTGGCCTAGCTCCTGGTTCTTTGAAGAAAAAAAAAAAAGGCCCCACTCACTGGCTCCTGCCTAGCAGGGGGCAATTCCCGCTGCCTCCCACTGCCCCACACCATGTGAGGGGCTCTGCCACAAGCCCCCCAACACCTGCCTGCTCTCCTAGCTTCCCCCATGGCTGCCCTGCCCTTCAAAAATAAAAAAAAGCCATGACTCTCTGACTCCTGCCAGGCGGGGGGCAATCCCCACTGCCCTCTACTGCCCCATGCCACATGGGGAGGGCTCTGTCACGAGACCCCAGAAGCCCTGAGGCCACTGCAGGAGCTGGTGAGTGTGGGGTTTTTTGTGGGTTTTTTTTTTAAAGGTCCAGGAGCTGGGGTGGCCGGGGCAGCCATGGGTGGGGCAGCCATGGGGGGGTGGTGCAGACAGGGGATGGGGCCTGGCAGGGGTTCCCCCATGGTCCCCTCCTTCAGTCCCTCTTCCCCCGCCCCCTACTTACCAGCATGGAGTCCAGGTCCAGCTCCCTGCTGCAGCCAGTGGGGACTACCTGAATCACCAAAGCTCTCTGAATCTTTTCCAAATCGATTCAGAGAGTGTCAAACCAATTCAGACCTTTTAATTGGTCCCCTGATTCGATTTGGATTTGGAGATTTGACCACCTAATCAGGCCGAATCTCCTCTGAATTGAATCAGTGCCTGAAGCTTTGTGCAGCCCTAGTATCTACTAAGTTTTGATGATTCTAGATCAGTTTGTTCTTTTACTCATTTGTATCTGTGCAGGTTTTAATAAGTAATTCTTCTCACAGGGAAATATAAATTAGATTAAAAACTTTTTCAGCTAAACATCCAGAAGCTTTATGATTCTAATATTGCTTGTTGGACAGCTGCTGCAAATTATGCCAAGCTGAAATGATCCACAAAAGACTGTTCTGGCACCTGGGGTTTACATCAACACTCTTACTATAGCCATCACATATTCACAGTGTGAAGGATGGTATAAAACAACTGGAGAGTGTAGCAACAGTACCATAACTAAGGCAGGGTGACCAGGGCAGCAGCCCTGATTGCTGACTTGGGTGTGGGGTAGAAAAATAGCAGCTGTCAATACTGCTCCATCACCTCATGCATTGCTGCTGCCCTAAGTGCCAAGTTGCTCTCTTAAGCCTCTGTATTAAGAGTTAAGTGGACTTCACAGAAAACAACCATATTAGGCAAGATACTGGTCCACATTATTACTAATAAGTATTCTACACAAATAAAACTATGTACATCTGCTGGGCTGAAGTTTAAAACCTGGCTTTTAAGGTATAAGAAGACTTCTACCACAAAAATATAGGAGATTTTCTGTTAGCAACTTCCTTTTTAGGATGTAGCCTGCCCCACCCTTAGAAAAGGCAATATGCAAACTGGTATATACCATGCTTGTTCACGATCCCACTGAAGCTAGTGACAAAACACTCCAATCGATGATTGCTATCAGTAGGAGCAGAATTTAGTATTTGTTTTGTATTAAAATCAAACCTGGGGACAAACTTCATTTCAACAAACCAACACAGGTAAGAAAATCCTTATCAGACTTGAGGCTTCCTTGTGGCAAAGCTGACTGTATCAGATTCTGTTTACTTCTGTTTTGTGGCAATTCTAACCCAAATGGAACCTTATTATCTCAATTTTATTTTGTTCTTTCCTGCAGGAGAAAATATAAGAAAACATCACAGAGGTAAGAGTAAAACACAGGACTGGGGGAAGATGTTTGTAAGTCAGCCATCCTTCTTTTTGAGCCTGAAGGATTTTCCTTGTTCATCATTGGAATCCATGCCACTGCCCTTTATGAAGGATAGGCAGCACTTTTACTCCAAACTCCTGTTGGTAATAGCAGGGGCTTTGCCTGAGTAAAGATTGAAGAATTTGGTCCTGATCTCAAACATATTTTCCCCTCGTTTCTTCAATTAGATCTGCCGGTTTTAACTTCTATCACTATGTGCGCTGCAATAAAAGATTGATTGCGTGCTTTTAGTTTTGTTAATGATATGTGCCTTTGCAGGAGGCCAGAGGAAGACTGGGATCCTGTTGCTTAATAGGCCCTATTACAGCTAAAAGATCTAGCTATCTTATTGCATCTTTGCAGTAGGGAAGACTAATGGGGGTTCTCTGAGTGATTCATTTCTCTCTATGGAGTCCTTTTATTTTTGGTTTGCATTTGTTTGCTTTCTGATTGTGTACTTTGCTGTGGAAGCTCTAGGTCACAGTTTTAGGTGGGTCACCATGACTTGCCTTATTCTGTTTCTCCCCCTTACTTTGATTCTGCAAAGTACCATGTGTTGGCTCTGGATTTAGGATCCAGGTGCCTTGTTCTGGGCAGGGGGGGAACCCATTCCCTCCCAGACCGATCATGACCTTTTCATTTAATAATAGGCAAATTTATTGATACACAGTGATAGCAGAAAAGAAACAATACAAACAATCAAGCAATTCTATATACTACCAATCCTAGGGCTGTCATCAGAGTCAGGATACATCTGGCCAGGATGAAGGCTTCACTGTGAGGCTCTATCTTAGGTGTCAGTTGTCAGCATGTCAGCAGCTTGGAGGTGGGATGTGGAGGCTCTCCCACCCACTGGGGTGGATAACAGGGGCTGGTGGTATGCCCTCTGTCCATGGTGGCCTCAGGGACCCCTCCTGGGGACGGGGATGGGGAGGAGCAGAAGGACGGGGAGGAGGAGGACCCAGGCGGGAGACGAGGAGTGGGAGGGACTCCTTGCTGCTTCAAAGTCCTTCTTTTGTAGTCTCCTTCCCTCCAGATGACTCCTGATGACTCTTCATCTGTGGCTATAACTGATTGGTCTCTTTGTGTGGCTGTGGTTGTCATATGTCTACGTAGCTCATCACATGCACACATACTAATTTGGTCTTTCCAGGCGTTGTCCTAATTTGGTCTGTTCCCCCAAAACTGAGACTCGGGGCCCCTGCTCTGGGGTCTTGTTAGTTGGTGCCACCTTATCTCGTGTTATGGTACAGTATGGTACATGCCCTCGTTTCTCAGGCGGTGTGTATATCTGTTGGCCTTGTTGTGTTAGACAGCCTGTCTGCTTCGAAGGCTGTGTGAAACTGTGCTTGTGTGACCCAGGCTTTTCAAAATCAATTAACCCCTGCTACCTATCCTGAACCATTCTAATAGACGCGCGCACGCACACACACACACACACACATATATATATATACACACACACACACACACACACACACACACCCCTATAAGCCAATTCCTAAAAAGCAAACCTTTAAATACCATTCTTAAGATATCAACATGTGCTTTTAATCCCCACTGACTTCAGTAGAAGTTGAGAGCATTTAATACCTTGGAGGAACTAAGTCCTAAAGGCACTTCGGAATGTGCTCCTCTGTGATGTGCTCTGACTTACAAACTGTGACAGTGAAGTCCTGAGCCCCACAGCACTGCATTGTGCAATTTTGCACCATACTGTGTGGGACACTGGAACAGATGCCCTGCTTGGATCTTTCATCTGGAAGAGCTACCATGCAACTTTGAATGTTGTAGAGAATTTGAATGAAGAAAAAAAAAAGTTTTTTCTGAGTGGGCTGTTGGCTTGAATGCAGGTGATCTGTATTTCTGTCATGTTTCACTTAATACAGTTATGGACCCATAGCCAGAGGTATTTATTTGCTACAAAGTGGTTGTTAGAGAACAGGACATTTTCTAGATGTTGAATGATTGCTGGGCGAGTTTTTTATGTTGCTTGCATCTTGGTTGTATGTGTTTTCTATATATGTCATTTTGGGAATGGTTCATGAAACAATTACACCAAATTAAAAGGGTTGGGGGACTTACTGTGTCATCTGATCTGCAGTAAGCAAATCATAGGCAGAAACAAAATGTGTCAGTTTTACTGCTGAATAAAAAAATAAACTTTTAAGTTACTGCAATTTAGCTTTTATTTACCATAGGAAGCTGCATGAAAACTGTTATAGCAGATCAGCTTAAACCATGCTAAGTCCCCCAGTTTTAAACACTGTATAATTGATTCATCTGTCCATACATTATGGCATTGGTTGGAATGTGTTTTTAGCATTTTGGGGGGCAGAGATATACTTAAGCTACCACTGTAAGTATTGGATTGGAAGAGACAAAAATTATACTACAGGCTAGGAAAATATTCCCTATTTTTTTTTTTTTTGCCATTTAACTCAGAAGTTAAACTGTGAGAGAGGTCTTTTGTATCCTGTTTGGTTATGTGTCCATGGTGATCTGTATACATTTATCTTGATTCATCACACAGGGGACAACATTTTTTTTTGCCTGTTTTTTTTATAATGTTCCTTTATTGACTCCCCATGTCCCCACTTTATCTCTATATGCTTGGTGTATATTTTGTGCTGGTATTTGCTGTTTGGCTGCTGAAATTTATGCTTTTTATGACTGGACCTATGTACTGGTGAAACAAATGGTTCCATGGAGCAAAAGGTCGTATAGAAGGTTGTGCCCAGCAAGTAGGGGTGTGCAAAGTGGGCCCTATTCAATTCGGATTCAGACTTGGCCCAAATCAGGAACAGTGATTCGATTAGTTGATTTGGATCATTGTCCCCGATTCAATTTGTCTGAATCCAAATTTGAAGATTCAATGCTGATTTGGAGAATCAACAATTCAGACACAGACACCGCTTTAAAAGTTTTTTCTACATACCTTGAGGTAGCAGGCGGCTTTCAGAGGGACAGTGTTTTGTTTCAGTGTTTCGTAGGGCTGTCTGAAATGGCTGTGTTTCATTTTGTTTTAGATTCAGCATTTTGGAAGGACAGTGAATCATTTCAGTGTTTTGCATCACTGTCCCATTTCATTTTGGCTGGAACTGTTTCGGAATTTTGATGGTGTTTCGGTGTTTTGACCGTAGGCTATAATGTGGAATCACAAAACTGCCTATAACTTTGTAATTTCTTGCCTGATTTGGATGAAACATGCAGGGATGCTAGCCCCTTCTGAGGCCATGAAACCTGGAAAGTTTCAACAAAATACACTTAGGGGTTTCTGGGAAACTACACCTCAAACTGTTCAAAGCAAAACTAGTATCACTTGCTGGCAGTGGCAGCATGCTGTCATCCCGCATGCAGATCCAGAGTGCCACTCCCCCTGGGAGGAGTTTGGCACAGCCCTGCAGCCCTTCTGTGGGGTGCGGCCCCACAGATCTGCATGTGGGATGACAGCAGCCTGGTGCTACCGACTGAGGCCAGTGCCAGCACTGGGTTCTTCCTGGTGCTTGGTGTGGGCTATGCCAGGCAGACTCAGGTGCTGGTGCTGGCCCTGGCTGGCAGCAGCAGCCTGCTATCATTTGCATGGTCTGCAGCTGGTAAGTGCGGAGCTTTAAAAAAAAAAGCTCCTCACTTATTGGCTCTGGCAGCAGCGATTGAAGCCTATGAAGGCTTGTGGCAGAGCCCCCTGCACAGCACAGGGCCACAGGGGGCAGCGGGCATTGCCACTCCACTATGGCGCAGGTGCACTGTGGCTCGGCAGGCTACCGCATGCTGCCTGTGAGCTGGGGCAGATCTACCTGTCAGCCGGAGCTCCCCTGGTTCAAGTCCCCAGCTCTCTGATTAGTCCCCCTGCTCTTCCTGGGGGGCATGGCCCCTAGATCTGTGTGCCAGGTTTCAGCAGGCTGCTGTTGCCAGCTGGGGAAATAGCCCAGAGCCACCACCATCTGCAGCCAGCAGTGGCATTCTGCTGTCATCCCACATCCAGGGGTCAGCACCCCCACAGGAAGAGCTGGGGGAAGTGATCAGAGAGCTAGGGAAAAGATCAGGGAGCTGGGGAATCAAACTGGGAACTGGGGGAATGTTCAGGGACGTGAACATTCCCCCAGCTCCTTTGTTCAATTCTTTAGTCCCCTGTTCGATTCCCCAGCCCCCCGTTTGGAAGGGATCTCAGGGACAGATTGTTGTCACTGGCTACCAGCTACAGATATCAATATCAGAGCAGTCCTTCCCCGCTCCCCCTCCCTCTCCCTCTTTCACTGCAAGCCTGCCTTCGAAACAGATCTGAAATGTTTTGGAAACATCCTAATCATTTTGGATAATTCCCAAAACGTTTTGGATGGCCTGTATCATTTCAGAGCTGTTTTGGAGCCCAGTGTTTCATTTACGATTTGGTGTTTCAACTGTCAAAATGTCTGAATCCGAAACAAAATGAAACGGCCACTGACATTTCACACAACGCTATTATTTAACTTCAGACTTCAGCCTGAGTTTCCGCTATGTATATGTTAATTGTGGGGTTTTCTCTCTCTCTTTCTCTTTCTTTCCCACAGTAATCCAAATGATCTATATCTTCAGATATCTCCAAATCCATCAGGGTAATGGTATTCTGTCTGCTTTTGCATTTTGTTTACTATGTTTCTCTTTTTGGGAGTATTATTATTAATTATGTCAGGGTGAACATAAACTACTCAGCACCCCTTTTAATATGGGGAGGCAGCAGAATATCTCATTTTAAACACTTTACAGTCTAAAAGAATTACTTGTTGAGGCCAGATCTATCAGTTAGTCATTTAATGCAAAAAAATTTGAGGAGTAGTAGAATCACTGTAGTACTGGAACTATATTCAGTTTGTAATTGGAGATGACAAAAACAATCTTGCATGAATTACATAGTTAACTGGGTTGACTCAAATACCTTAAAAGCTACAGTAGATTGTTATTATTTTCCTCAAACT